TAGTTACACTATATATATACTAGTTTATTTTTCTTTTTTCTAAAAATTGCATTATGGTAACCTTCATAAAAATGCTAAACCCTCTTGAACAGTGGGATTTAATTGCGTATTATAAAAAAAAGGTAAGTTTTTAACACTATGAAAGACTTCATGGTAATTGATGGGGGTTTTTTTGTAGAGCCATAGGTCCATTTACTCCAACTAGTAATTAGTTAACAGAATATTAAAAAAGGGGAGGCGTTTACATAATTGGGATCACAAATAAGGCCAAATCAAAGCCAGACAGTGATTTCAAAGCATTTACAAATGTCCCCAATGTGGGTGATGGTGGTTCCTGCATACTGACCTAAAAAAGTCCCTACTTCTTTAGCCCTAACTAATACAAAACACACAAAAACAACAACTTTGAGTACTAATAGCGACCTAGAGGTTTGCCACGCTGAACAGGAGCCACATATAGCCATGTATAATTTGGCACATATTCAATTTCAAAAGCTATGTATAGTCCTAAGAAAATGTTAGTATAAATTATAAAAGAAGCAAAGGCACAAAGCAGCACAGAGTTGCATGAACCCAAGCTGACCAAAAGAAAAATATGTTATTGTTGTTGCTCACAGCTTAAGAAGATCATTGTTTTAAGTTGCTTATCTTAAGCCACCAAGTGTAGATGTTAAATATTTTCACAAAGAATTACCCTTTTTCAAAAGCTGAATGCATATCTACAAGTCTTTCCCACCATAAAGGTGTAAATGTAAGTTTTAAGGTGTTAGTACTTGGAACACTCCGAGTAAATGGCTGACTGATGTGAGGATATGTGGCTAGATTTCAGAGAAATCACAGGAATAACAATGACAGCAAAGCACAGCTAATAAAGAAAACCTGTTTTAGGTCATTTTACAGTCTCTCAACAAAGATGTCCTTCTGCTACCCGCATTTTTCCCCTGGTCCATTTTGGTCACTCCCAAACAAAAAGAAAAAATAATTTATATGTTCTGCACTGATACTGTGATTAAACCAAAGATAGCACCAGAGCCCACAAATAACTTGCAGCACTTTTTCTGCCATCTTTCCACTCTTCTTGTACTCTCTTCTTAACTTCTCCTGACAGAACCCAGTTACCTACAGTAAACCTCTCAATCTTCCTTTCCCCTGCCATTTTATTTCTATTCCGTATGAAATATATGCTAATGTCTAACAATATCAGGTTTTGCCTGTTAAAAAACAAACAAACAAAAAAACACTGAGTTGATAGGAAGGTGGATGGAACTAAATGCTGTGATCGGTTGCAAAGTATATTATAAATTAAAATGCATACTCAGATCTTGATTTTTATTTACTTCTAGTTTTCAAAATGGCATGCATGGTATATAAAGCTGTCTTGATTTTCCATGATACTGAGACTTCTGGAGTGATTTGTCACAGTGAAATCACGTCTATTTTAGAGATAACCTTGATTATTCAAACATGCTGGTGTCATAACTTGACATTTTGTCAACACTGTCACTTTCATTGACATAAATACTTAAATCTGAAGGAGAAATTACTTGGACTTGCTTTAGAAGCATGAACTACCCATTCTACGTTACACTATTGCTGAATTTGCGCTGTTTTGGGAAATGCCTTTAATAGGGACAGACAGACAGACAGACAGACAGACAGACAGACAGACAGACAGACAGACAGACAGACAGACAGACAGACAGA